TACAGGTGCTTTAATCTGCTGAGGTATTTGGCGGGCCCATAAGCAGTATTTTTAAAGATTAAAGTGAAACATAAAATCATAGCTATACTTATTGTTTAACTTATCCATATTTTCTATTGCAAAACCACTAATCCTTGTGAGTCATTGATTTAGGAAGAAAGAAGTTTCACTCTATGCTTCCACTCCTCCCTACATTCCTTTGTCTATTGTATATGAGAACAAAAGTAGGATATAAAAAACAATCAAGTTTTCCTTTTTAAGAAGTATTTAAAAAAACCCAGCAGAAATGATACAGAATTTTAAAATAAGAAATTAACAATCGTTGTTATATAAACAAGTTTTTTGTAAAGCAAAATTTTAAACTTTGTACTAACTCAAAAGTCCTTCTTCTAAGGTCTGTAAATTTTTAATATATTTCTATTATCTACTGTAGGAATAGAAATTTAGAAGCAGAGGAACAACCTCCCTAAAACGACTCCATAGGGACTGGGAATATAGCTCAGCTGCACAGTGCCTGCCTGGCAAGTGTGAGGTTGTGAGTTCGATTTCCGGTACCAAAAACAAAGAATCAAAAACTAAAATGACTCCAGATATATGACCACAAGCTTTGGAAAAGCTTTAGAGAATACTAAATCTTTACATTATCAAGATAAGGGACTTTGTGTTACTTATCAGTGCCTGTGCATAAATCTACATGAAATCTTTACAACAAGTAGGCTCAGTGGCTCTAGTCCTAGCTACTCTGAGGCTGAAGCAGGAGGATCATTTGGGCCCAGGAGTTGAAAGGAAGCCTGGGCAGCACAGACTCTATCTTGAAAGAAAGAAGGAAAGAAAGACAGACAGACAGACAGACAGAAAGAAAGAAAGAAAGAAAGAAAGAAAGAAAGAATTAATTGCTGGAAGTATTTATCTTCCTGCTCCATTCCCACCAACCCCATAATAGCCTGATTTCTCCATACCTAAAATATGCTGCTCAAAAAGAGGCATTAGACAGTTTTGCAGGCTATCTTAAGTCCCCTTTAGAAGTTCATTACATATCATCAAAGCAGATGTCAGTGAAGTTCATAATAAAAATTTTACAAAGTAGGTCTGGGATATATAGCTTAGCAGCACAGCACCTGCCTGGAAAATGTGTGAAGTACTGAGTATGATTTCCAGTACCAAAAAAAATTTTTTTTGCAAAAGTATATATACTACACTATGTACATCCATGATATAATTTAATAGCACCTTTGAGACAAATTAAAACAAAAGGAAAGTTAATTTTATTTAAATAAAATGTCCAGGGTCACAGAGCTAATACAAGGGAGGGCTACATCTAAACCCAGATTTTTATGATTGGAAATCTATTCATGTAAAGTTTGGATCTTTTTGCACTATATTCACTTTCCATTTCATTTTTAAAACACTTTCAAATAAGTTATCTAGTTTTTCATTATTGAAACTTACAATATCCTAGAGAGAAAGGTTTCTAAGTCTTGAACCCCCTAAGAGTATGTAATAAGGCAGAAGAGCCAAATGAAGATCTTGACTGTGGGATGTAGTGCCACATCTATAATCCTAGATACTAGTTGGGAGGTTGAGGCAGGAGGATCGAAAATTCCAGTCCAGTTAGAGAACTTAGTGAAAGCCTGATTTTAAAAGATTTTTTTTTTAAAGGGTTGGGTATGTAGTTCAGTAGTAGAGTGTCTAGCATGTCCAAGGCTGGGGTTCAATCCCTAGTATGACCAAAAAAATAAAAAGTAAAATCCTTTGATGTGTAGTCTAGCAGCCTGCCTCTTGTGGCTTACGTAGCCACTTTTCATTTAGTACACCTCAGTTCTCTTCCCTTCCCTTGCATATCTGGATGATTACTATACCCATTAGTATGCGTGTTCACTGTATATGAGGTTTACATCTATTAACTAATCATGATTTGGAAACTATTACTTTTTTAAAAAAAAGCTAATACTTTGTGAACAACCTTTGAAGGAGCTATGCTCTATGACAGCTAAGGTTATTTAATCTTATTTGATTGTTCAGTACTCATTTGATACCAGGTACTTCAGCATTTTTTTTTTTTTTTTTTTTTTTGGTGGAACCGGGGATTGAACTCAGGCCCTTGAGCTTGCCAGGGAAGCACTTATTCTACTGAGCCACCTCCCCAGCCCCACTTCAGCATTCTTATACAGAAGTTCCTTGGAAGCTTAGAAGCTTTACAGTTTACTGAGGAAAAGCCTAACAAATAGTTTGCAAGAAGTAAAAAAAACAGAAAACATTATATAATAAATAGTCCTCAGGAGGAGGTGGCTCTAACTTTAGGGAAAGAAGCATTTTTGGAGGTACTGATAATAATACTCTATAAAGGCAGTGAAAACCAGACCTCAGAGTAAGAAAACAAATGTCAGGGTCCTAACCAAAAACGCCAAAAAGCCCCTTGTGTTGTTGAATGATACACTATAGCACAATTCCTCAAATAAATGTTAAGTTTTTTGTTTTGTTTTTTTTGCAGAACTAGGGATTGAACTCAGGCCCTTGTGCTTGCCAGGGAAGCGCTTATTCCACTGAGCTATCTCCTTGGCCCCTATGTTAAGATTTCTACATTAACACTCATAAATTGATAGCCTCAGAACTGTCTTCCAAACTTCAAATCACTTGCGTATGTTGTACATGAACTGTGCATATTGAAGCTCTTTTTTTTTAACGTCTATCAATTCAGTTACCAATCCTGCTGCTAATCTTCCAAACTTCATCAGTGGTCTAAGTAATTGCTTTCTTTAGTTCCCTAAAACTCGAAAAACTGTGAAGTAAAACTGCAGACTCATTCAACCTCTTTCAAACTGACATCTTCCTCTCTAGTACTCAATACTTTTAGCTGGTTTTCTCCACTTTGGTAAACCTGGATAGAACCAGTTTGGACTCCCAGAGCACTAGTGATTGTCCTTACTGAATGGGAGGTCACTTCAGCAAGGAAGCAATGCTGCTTGCTACTTATTTTTTTCTTTCCTTTAGAGATCAAGAGAACCTAACTGTTGAGAAAAGTCATGGATAAAACTATAGTACTATATTTATATTTGAAATAAGGCCTGGCTGCATAAACCTATCAGTAGTCTGGGTCATAAACAAAAAACGCTGAAAGGCCTACTTATAGTATATATTTAAAATATCTCCCAAACTTTAAAAGAGAAATATACTAGGACTGGTCCTTAAAAAAAAAGCTACAATTTTAAATCCACAAAAGATAACAGTGATGCTATTACTTGGGCAAACCAAGACCAGGGTTATGTTTTCTGCTTAGGAATATCAAATTTTTCTGGCTTATTTGTTATATTGCTAATATCCTAGAGTTTAACAAAACGAGACCTTTTTATCATACAGAATTTGGAAGATACAGAAAAATGCCAGTCTCATTTACTATTCAAAGATACTGATTGTATCTTCATTTTTTCAGCTGACTTTTTAGTAGATTCCTTAATTATAGTGGCTACAAAATTATAAGATTTAACTGAGGATATGGTTTTTCATATTAAGAATATGTGTAATTTAATTTTTTTTTTTTGGCTGAACCGGGGATTGAACTCAGTCCCTTGCACTTGCCAGGAAAGCGCTTATTCTACTGAGCCATCTCCCCAGTCCCTGTAATTTAAATTTAAAAAATAAAATTTCTATTTAAAAGAAAAAATTCTTTAAGTTAGTATATTAAATTTTCTTTCTTTCTTTTTTGGTCTGTGACAGGGTTTCCCTATGTGGTTCAGGTTAGCCTCCAACTCACAGTGATCCTCCTGCCTCAACCTCCCCAGTGCTGGTATTATAGGCATGCGCCACCACGCTTGGTGGCATATTAAATTTAACCTCGGACGAAAACACATTCTTTTCTAAAGCACAATGTTTGGAATCAAAACATTGGCTACGCCATTACATATAAAATGAGTGTACACTAGGTTGAGCATAAAACCTAGGCAAAACAACTTCTACATTTTCACAAAACACTGTTCTACAAAATCAGAACAGGTCACCTAGAGTTTTATAAATGGAGAAAGCTAAGGAACAAGATAAGTGCTATTTAACACAAATTTTTACCAGAAAGCTGGTCAAGAAATAATTGGCTAGCAATGTAGACGGATTTTAGGGAAGAATGGCAAAGAGGAGACGAAAGACAGAAAATATGAAGTCAGCAAAATCCGGACTTAATCTTCTTGCCTTTTAAATCATGATCAAGCAGACTTACTTGAATTAAATGTCCAATCTAATCAGTTTCCAAACAGCCTCTTCCCTTTCAGGAAAACCTGGTCACTTTTCCATAACCTAGGCTGGCCTCCTGCAGATCACGACACAAGCAACATCTTTCAAAGCTCCCCCATTCAATCGAGACTGACAGTACACTTTAATTTCTTCGACTACCTTTTCTCCCCGAGAAGAAAACGGTAAAAGCTCCGCTTTCTAGTCCCCCTTGAAGCATATGAAAACCACAGAACTTCTCTGAAAAGACTGTCAGATAAACCCTTGGAATTACTGAGAAAGCATATTTGAAAAGAAGCTTTTCAGTAACTGCAGTGAGGGCTCTTGTCAGTGTCATTCCCTCCCTAGCCTGTCTCATTGGAGACGCCTCCGTCTGCCGGGATTTTTCCCACCTTCCTGCTCACCCGGGTGAGGGCCTTGGCCAAAGAACGAGCTTGGGGGAACGAGACCTAGCGGCTGCAGCAGACCCCAAGGAATGGCTGCAGCAGACCCCAAGGAATGGCTGAAGCACTCCCACCACCTGGAGCTCCAAAGACTTCAGTAGGGAACCATAATGGCGCACTCACTCTCAACCTTGAGAAAGGTGGTCCTTTCAATTCCTAGGTAGAGGGGCGACCACAGTGAGGGGTCCGGGGTCAGGAGATCCGAAGAAATGAGTTCTTTGCCAGTGTAGGGTGACAGCGGAGAGGATGCCCCAAGCAGCTCAGGCCGCCATTCATACTCTCCCTCCCTTACCGCCTCCACCCTTCCACCACCCCACTCAATCACGAGACACCGCTCACCTGCTGGGACCGAAAGAGCAGAAACTGTCCGGACCACCGACTCGAGGCTCTGTCACTGTGGGAGGGGACGTCTTCAGCTGCAGGGGGGCGGTTCTGGCTAGACACGTGACCTCGAGCTCCGCCCTGCCGCCTCCATCCTGGCGCGCGGCATCTCGCGGACTTGAATCTTAGCGGATCGCTTGAATGTTAACTTTTTGCAATTAAAGGAAAAAGTGAACTGACATTTTTTACAAAGACTATGTTGTAAACTGCAATGCAGAAAGCGAGGATGGTAAGGGTTAAAGCGCATCGTTAGGGAAGTGACGTTCAACCCGTGATCTAGGGACCGGAAATGGCATTCGAGTTCCGTCCTTCTGGGCCCCGCCGGCAAAATCCAGGGCTGTGAGGTCTGGGCCAGTCACGTGATTGTAAAAACTTGAGGCGTGCCAGAGAGTAGCCAACCTACCCAGACGATTGTTAATTACGTTTTTAAAAATTACCGAATGTACTTGATTTTTCCAGACTTATTTACATTTAGAAGGGTTCGGGAAAACCCTTTTAGGAGACAAGAGCGTTTGAAGGTCACGCTGGAGTCCCCAGGCTGCGAAGAACGGGGTCGAGAAAGAACGACCTTACTGATAAGGAAGAGGGGCGGGAAAATCCGGATTTTACCGCCAGGGCCTACCAAGCAAGCCCCAAACGCTGTGTCGCAAAGGATGGAAGGCGGGGCTTCGCGCTCGGAGGCCCGCCCGGGAGAAAGATGGAGACCAGGGAGTGGAGGGGGGAAGGGTGCGCGGAGGCAAGCAGTGCGGCTGCGCAGAAGGCGGCGGACGCACCGCGCGCAGAGGGGGCGGGGTGAAAGGTCACCGCGCGGCAGCGGGGCTGGCTGGCGGCGGGCGCGGAGTGCCCCGTGTGCACGTGTGGAGGAGCGGCGTTGCCTGCGCGCCGGCGGGAGACGTCCCCGCCCTCTGCAGATTCCGAGCCCTGCCCGACTTCGGCGGCCTTCGTCACCCCCTCAACTCCCTGTCCTAGGCGAGGAGGCCGGCTTGGGTTGAGGGGCCCGAGCCAAGAGCGCGGAGAGCTCCGAGCGACGAGGACAACGGCGTTGAGAGTGGTGGTAACTACGGCCTCAGCAGGCGGGGAAGATGAAAGGGTGAGGAAGGGCAGCCAGGCCGGGCGCGCGTGGGGAGAGAGTGCTGCGACGGAGGGGAGAGGCTGAGGGCGAGAGATCTGGGGTTCTCTGTTCAACTCCAGTCCCGGAGGGGGCGGAGGCGAGGCGAGGGTGTTGGCGGGCTGAGAGGCCGACGGGGGCGAGAGGAGCGGACCGAGACTGCGGCCCGAGGGACGGGTGTGGGCTGAGCAGGACAGCAGGGACGAGCTATTGTGAGGCGCCTGGGCCTCCTCGCCGGCTGCGCTCGGCCGGGCCACTCCGGCCCACTAGTTCAGGTGCAGCGGGTTGGCTGTCCTGTTGTCCGAGGCTCAACACGGGAACTGCGGTGTTGGACACCTTTCGGTTTTATTTCCATTTGAGAGCCACGCAGAACCATCCGGAGGGAGAAGGAATTGGAAGTAAAGAGCATGGAGATGAGTATTAAGAGATAGTGACTCAACTGGATTTGGGTTGGGTCGGAGCGAGTGGAGGAGGGGGAATGAGCTCGATTTGGGGTGCCAGCATGTTTAAGGAAGTGTTTGCAACAGTAGGTGGAGCTCTTGCTTCAGTGGTGTGAATTGCCCCTGCCTTCTGTGAGGGGCTCATGTTACTATGCTTTTTTTCAGTCTGTTGGCAGTTAAGGTTCGATCTTTCAGCCCCTGTCTTGGATAAAATGAGGGATTATTTTGGTCTAACTGTTTCCATTTAGATAAAAATGTCTTTTGAGGGGCTGGAGAGATGGCTCAGTGGTCTAAAGCACCTACTTGAAACAAGCTTGGCAAAGCAGAGGGACCGCGGTTCGATCCCCAGCACCACATGCCAGCCAGACCCGCCCCCTGGTGGGCTGAGCTGGCCACACACACACACAATAAATAAATGTAATAAATAAAAATAAATAAATATTTAAAAAAAATGTCTTTTGAGTTACATACTAAATTAAAATAGTCACACAACACTATGTAAAGTAGTACTTTAAAGAACCTTTTGGGAGTTTGCTTTATAATCTTTGGAAAATGAAGTGGAAGCTTGTATTAAAAGCTGAGATGCTCTCGGGGCCGGGGAGATGGCTCAGTAGAATAAGTGCTGGTCTAGCAAGTGTAACGGCCTGAGTTCAATCCCCGGTTCCGCAAAAAAAAAAAAAAACCAACAAACCTGAGATGCTCGAGTTTTCTAAAATCACAAAATGATTAAAGAATTGTAACTGCTTTAAATTAGTGAAAGTATTAATACTACTCATCAACTTTTTTTGAGAATGAAGTCAGTTACTTCGAAATAATCTATTGCTGCCTAAATGAGGGTCCAAATAGTATTTCGTGTACTCATATGTGAAGTCATATAAGACATTCCGACAAAAGTTTAATATGATCTTAGGTCTGTTACTTGTTTTCTTATTCAGATTTATTTAGCTTTAAGTACTCCATATTTATTGTAGTGCTAGATTGCATATATTGAAAATATTTGCTGCTCCTGAATCTTTTGTTTTTGGTGGAACCAGGGATTGAACTCAGTCCCTTGCCCTTGCTAGGCAAGCACTTATTCTACTGAGCCATCTCCCTGACTGTTCCTGAATCTTGATCCAGGAAGTTTGACTGTTTCATGTGTTACCAACATATTTAGGAAGTCTTTGTTTTTCTGGTAGGCTGTATTCCTTCAGTATAGATGTTCTCTGACTCATTTTTTTTTTGTATTCTCAATGCCACATACTCAATATATATCACATTCAGTTATAAAAAAAGTAATAAAAAGGAGGCTCAAGAGTTTCTCGTGTTGAAATTGCTATGGATTTGTAAAGAAGTCCCCCAAGAGATTATTTTGAATGCCCAGATCCAAAATTTAGTAATATCCTAATTACTGTTGCATATTAGTACACCTGTGCTATGGAGAATGGGACATTTCTTGAATTTGTGAATGATAAGCTGATTATTTTTACCCCTTAGTCTTTTTTAGAGAAGATATTCAAGCAAGGTATTTGCAGCCCCGACTGTGGTGGCAATGCAATTAGTCATCAGTGTAATAGAAAGTAAAACTGAAACCTTTTATCCTTCAATTTTAGTAAAGAGGTACAAATTAGTTCTAGTAAAAAATGGCTTTAACATGAATGCTTGTGAACAGAGTGACCAAAATATAGGCAGAAAAGTAGGAAGCAATATTATAAATATACAACAGTATAGTCTATTTAAAATACTTACAGGAGCCATTTTGATCAAATGTTACTAGAAAATATAATAGAAATATAAGATCCTGCAGTCAGAAACAAAACTGCTGAAGAATTCAGAATAATACTTGCCACTGGTAGTATTTAAAGTAGGATGGGGCACGGGGCAATGCTGAAAGTACTGTATATCTTTCCTGTGTGTTGATTGTTACATAGTACATGTATATGTACACATGTATAATATATGTAAAATAAGTTATAAATGAGATTTGTGGTCTTTGCTGAATGTATCTTATATGTCAGTAAAACTTTTTTTAAGGTTAAATTATTGTTTTTGTCAACAACAAAAAGCCAGTCAGGCTAAAATATAGCATTGACAACTTATAAGCCTTCAGTTCATCTTCTTTGCTTTGTGAAACCAGTAGTTTGTGCTTGTTTGAGATACTGATTCTTTAACAAAAACTTTGTAATGTCCCCTTTCCTATGTAGAGATCAATTCATATAAAAACCTACATATGCTACAATTTTCTGTTTTCTTTTCTCTTTTTTTCTCCTCTCTTTTTTCCTTTTTTTTTTGAGATAGGGTCTTGCTATGCAGTTCAGCCTGGTCTTGGACTCACTATGTAGCCCAGGCTGGCCTGGAACACATGGCAGTCCTTCTGCCCTAGCCTCCCAAGTGCTGGGATTACAGGCTCAATTTCCTAAAAAATATCAATTTAATGCCCTGCTACAAAGGAGAAATGGGAAGTAAATGATAAAATCTTAGTATGCAGTAGACAGGTACAGCTAAAGGACAAAACAGTTGTTTGCCTCAGTAAGTAAAAAGGATTCATTGTATAATTTAGAAAGTATCTGTAACCTACATAATTTGTAGCTGTGTTACCATTAATGGTGTGATTTCTTTTCTCAGATTTGTAAACAACTCTTGAAAAGCTCTTACCACAAAGTACTTAGAATTTCTTTGTTGGAAAAGATTTTAAAGGTTCTCTGAGGAGTCTGAGTATTTGTTGCATCAAGATACATGTTCCTTGATCATTTTGAACATCCTGACTACTGTTCCATATTAGTACACATGGGCTATGGAGAATGGGTGGTTTAAATTGTATGTTCCTGTTACTGAGCTTTGTGGCCAAATTAATTTTATGTTGCACCACGTTAATTATCAACTAAAGTTTCCTACTGGGTGTGGTGGCACATACCTATAATCCCAGCACTCTGGAGCCTAAAGCACATTAGGACAGGAATTCAAGCCTGAACTGCATATATAGCAAAACCCTATCTCAAAATTGTTTTTTCTTCCTAAATCTAATAAAGGATTTTTTCAAAGTCTTTGCTTTTACCACACCAAACTAATACCTATATTAAATTTCACTTCGGTGTTTCATACTGTGAAAATCCTAATTTTCTCTATCAGGGATTAACTCTGGCTTTGAACTTTGATACTTCTGAAGAGATGTATTTCTCGATTACTCAAATGTTTTTTCATCTTTTTTTTTCTTTTTAAATACAGCCTACAATAACCAACAGAACTCCAGTAATAACCAGTGCAAGAATTTTTTCCATCACCAAAATGACTATTGTATGGACTTTTTTTTTAAAAGGAGTTGTTTGAAAACAACTCTTCCCTTAGTATCTAGTTTCCAGATGGTAGACATATTTTGAATGTTTCAACTTTGGACCAACAGTTAATTTATAAATCTTTATATACTTCTATTGTAAAGGACTATGAGGCCATCATTCCAGGTTTTCATGTTAATAAGATTGCCATATATTTGCTTGTGTTATGATTTCTGTGTAGCTAGCCCAACC